GATCCCATCGATTCCCAGAAAACGTCCCCCCTCTCCCTTCTCATCTCTGGGTCTAGAGCAGCCACCCCCACGCCCACAAGCCATCAGTGGAGTGAACAGCTCAACCAATCGCCCTCCTGTCCATGCTCAGGAGAACTGCCCAGAAGCGCGTTCGGTTCCTCGTCCTGTGGCACTTCTCCAACCCCTCCCCCACCCGTCCTGAGCTTCCTGATGGACACTCTCAGGTCTGACTCAGGTCGGAGAACCAACCCTGCCCACATGAGCAGCCCACCTGGTGTGCCCTCTGCTTCCCACCTGGCTGGTCAGGGAGAGCCAGAGACGAGGCCTCACAACTGGGCAACTACAGTGTGAGGTGAATTCCATCAAGTCAGTAACCGTGGCCAAGCAACACGGCCAAGAGCAGAGGGGTGACCAGATAAAGCCTCTTGGAGGAGGTGACATTCAAGCTGAGGCCTAAAGGACTGAGGACTCAATGGTGTAAACAGCAACAGGTGGACAGATGGACAGACAGGAGTCTGGAGGTCAGAAAGGCTGGGGTGGAGACATAAACTTGAAGTCACCAAAACTACCGGTAAAGAGCATTCACACAGACAAGAACTGACGGCGACAGACAGGATCACCTAAGGAGAGCCCAAGGCAGAGAGGCACAGACGACCCCTGCAGGGACACCAAGGACAAGCAACGCGCAGCAGGAGGACCAGGAACCAAGGGGAGCGTGCTTCAGGGAGGTGGATGGTCATCAGTTGAGTCCAATGCCAATGGGCAGACTGTGCTGAAAACAGAAAGAAAAGAGAAAACTTCTCCGAGAGCTCTCTTCCCTGGAAATCAGAAGCCGAGGCCCTTCCAGCCGAGAAGGAGAGGAGATGGGCAGCCTCTCAGAGGGCTTTCCGACCCCACAATGACCCGGAGAGCCCAGCCCGACGCCTACATTGGTGCTGAGACACTGGATCCTCACAAGGCAACTCCCTGTTCTAAGTTTACTCAGTGGCTCCTTCAACCTGCGACTGAGACCTCCTTTTCACAAGCTTGGGGTGAAGGGGGGAGCATGGGAGACAGTTAGGGTCACAAGGACAGGGCCAAGGATAAATGAAGCGCTGGGCACTGCAGTGGGTTGAATAGTGTCCCCTGAAAATTCTTATCCACCTGGAACATGTGAATGTGACTTTCTTTGGAAAAGGGTCTTTGCAGGTGTAATTCGTTAACTTAGAAGGAGGTCCTGCTGGGTTCAGGTGGGTCCCCATAGAACGGAGAGGGGAAGGCCACGTGATGAGAGGCAGAGAGGCATCAGGGGGAGCGCCCGCCAGCACCTCGACCTCGAGGTCCAGCCTCCGGGACGGAGGACGAGGTCCTGCTGTTTTAGCCACTCGGTTTCTGGTCATTTGTGACAGCATCCACAGGAAACAACAGGGTAACACTTCAGAGACAAGCAGAAGCAGCCCTGCGAACCTAACACAGCGACCACAAAGACCGGACCACAGGCCTGGGTGGCTGGGAAGCATGAGGAGAGGAGGAAGCAGGGCTGTAGGGGACACACAGTGGTACCAGAGCTAACCTCTCAGTTCTTGCGCACGCTGAGCCTGAGGGTAAGCATTTTATGGGCACCCTCTCTTGTAACCCTCACCACCACCCCGAGATGAGCAAACTGGGCTAGAGGCATTAAATCACGTGCTCAAGGCCTCAAAGCCGAGCACTGGCAGAACAGGAAGTCCAGCATGTGGGCATGGCCGACGACAGGCAGAAGGCAGCACTCGCATGCACAGTAGTCACTGACGATGGCTGACATCCAGAAATAGACATAGCACGGAACAAAGCAGGAAAAGTAGAACTGGAAACCCTGTAGATACAGTGTGATCCCCAACGTGGGGGGATATTTTCTGCACACATGTACTCAAACGATACAAAAGACAAAAGGAAAACACAGAGTCCTACGTGGTTACTTCCTGAAAAGGAAGTTAGACATTTTCCCCTTACTCTTATATTCCTAATTTTCTAAAACATTTTTATTATTAAAATGCAAAAGTTGAAGATAAAAACAGAGACAATATAGCAGTTTCATTGAAGAGGACATCTTTCTAGAACCACAGTGTGGCTCAGGGGGAACAGGAACAAGGGCCTCAAAGAGTGAGAACAAGACAGACGGGGGGATTGAGGCAATGGAAGCAGATACCTGTGCAGGGAGTTCAATTTTGGGGGGCGGGGGAGGAAGTTATATAAGCCTGTGTGCAGGCAGAAGAGGAGCCCCCGAGGAAGAACTACAGGTGGAATGGTTGGTAAGTATGTTCTCACGTTGAGACGACTCCTTTAACAAGAGAGGAAGGAGGCAGGTGCAGACCGAAGTCTAGATGGAAGGAGGGGAGGCCAGCTGGTGCTGGAAGGTCCACTGTGTGATAATAAGAGCACAGGCCCTGGAGGCAAACAACTCAAGTTCAAACACGGGTTCCAGGATTCCTGACCGTGACCTTGCTAATTACCTAATCTTCCTGCCAGGTTAGCTCTGTGAAACGGGGCTAGCGTGGCACCTGCCTCCGAGTGGAGTGTGGACCACACAGGAATCACACAACATCCTCACCATGGTGCCTGGCACAGCAAGCCCCTCACACACACGAGCTAACAGCACTGGGATCAACAGGCCCAAGTGCAAGTTCATCGAATGCCACGGGAATGCCAGCTAGAGGGCCCAGTCTGAACGAACTGATTCCAACCGGCAAACCTTGAGGTGCTCTCCCAACAACTCTGTACATAGAAAGCCTATGCCAAGGGGAGCAGCATCAACTCCCAGCACAGCCCTGCCTGCGGCTTCTCTCTCTGCCCAGAGAACGACTACCTGGCTCACCCTCTTCCCTCCTCCTGCCCTCTGCTCAAATGCTCCCCCCCCCCTTTTAAATGAAGCCCCAGCCATCTCCATGGCCCACTGGGCCTTCCTTTTGAGCACCGCCCGTCCCCCCACCTGAGCTGACGCTCCTCCCCCAGGGCAGCGGGGTCCCGTGGCCGTCACCAGCTGCTCCCGGCACAGCCGGGCCTAGAAGAAGCGTTGCATTGAAGGTACCCTGCCCCTTCATAGGATCCTTTCTCTGAGCAGCTGACAAAGCTCAAGCTGTCCCTGTGAGAGCAAATGGAACAGAGCCTCTTTCGAAGACACATGCCCTGCCCTGCCCTGCCCTGCACCCCTTTCCTTCCCAGCTTCCCTGCACCCCACTGTGGATCGGGGGCCTCGGGGAACCTTGACCACCGCGCTCCTCAGTCTACCTCGGACTCTCAGCCACACTTGCTACCCTGACCATTCTCTCCCCGACACCCCAGAAGCCTCTCTGCCTGTAGGCTCTGGCCTACGCTCTGGTGTCCGTCCACCCTCGGGTCCCGTCTTCATGAGCTTCTCTTCCTCTGCTGCCGTCCTGGGCTGTGGCAAGGCCTCTTCTCAAGCTACACCAATAGGTCTCCAACCTTTAGAGACTCTCGGGTTCCTCTCCCAGGAAAGGGACAGTCCTGCGACGCTACAGCTGCACCGGGGAGGGGAGGAGCCACACGCAGGGCGCAGTCTCCCGCTGCGGGACCCTCAGTCCCTGCAGGCACCCTGGACCGAGGCCTTGACGTGCCCTGGCCGGGTCACCCACCACATGTTCTCCAATCAGGGCCGCTCAGATAGCGTGGTCTCGGGCCTTTACCTGAACTACTGAGGATCCTGGGCTTTTGTGCAGCAGTTCTCAACCTGTGGGTCGCGACCCCTTTGGCGGCTGAACGACCCTTTCATAGGGGTCGCCTAAGACCACCCTGCATATCAGATATTTACATGACGATTCATAACAGTAGCAACATGACAGTTATGAAGTAGCAACGGAAATAATTGTATGGTTGGGTCACAACATGAGGAACTGTATTTAAAGGGCCAGAAGGTTGAGAACCACTGGTTTATAGGCTTTTATCTGTGGATATCCACTCCATCAGAAATGGAAAGAGGCATTCTGAAATTGTCTAATAAGCCCGTTACATGTTACCATACAGAACATTTTTACAAAATAACGAGAAAAAGAACTGGGTGGGAAGAGCGGCGATGCTACATGTTAGCACACTCTGCCGGCCTCCGGAGGAGAGCAGGACCTCACTTCTGCTTCTGCGTGACCTGTCACTCGTGTTTTGGTTGAAGTTCACGAGGAAAATGCAGCCTCACAGACAGGGTGTCGGAAAAGGCCGGCGATTTCATCAGCCTTTCCAGGAAGAGTGGAGTTTCCTAAAGGCAGTCCTGCCGGGAACCTGAACGATGTCACCTTTTCGTTCGGTACGTGGCCCTCTACGGTCCACCCCATTCTTGCGCTCTGAACGATCTTTTACCTACTTGTGAGCGAGTAGCATCACACACAGGCAACTTGGAAAACCCCAGTTCACTTGGTTAAGCAGATCTTCCAAATGTGGACACATTTCATTACGTAATGTGAACAAGAAGCCTTTCGGTAGCCTTCCCACCTATCGCCTAAGAAAGCTCTTAAGCTCACAGCAGAATCATGCTTTCCCAAATTCGATTTTCCATTTGAAAGCTCCAATTTCAACACTGCTAACAACACTGCTAGTCATTCTCCTTGAAGGAGCTGGTTGGCTTTGTTCTTTTTGAAGAAAACACCTGCCAATACCCTGTGTAAACAGCCATCATTTTGTCCGCTGTCCCCGCAACTCTGAACCCAGGGCATGCTGGCCCCGAGACTCAGTTGCATCAGAGGTTTGGGCGCACTTCCCATTCCGTCTCCCAGACAAGCAGGAGGATGGGACTCGCTGCCGTTGATTCCAAGAATTCTGATTATTTCATCAGGACATTGACCTAAACTGGGTTCTTTTACCACGAGTTCCTGGTGGTGAAGAAGACTAAGCTACGGTAACTGCTGTGCCTGGTTAGACCACAGCCCTTTCACCCACCGCTGGGTTCCGCCCATGAAGCAAACACCATCTTCACGTGACTCTGAAAGGAGCTGGGACCTACTGGACCCCTGCGCCCCCAGGAGTACACTGCTCACGTTTTGATTGACTTCTTGCTCTCAGCGGTGGCTCCTCCCAAGACGTCAATCACCACCTGAACGGACAGCTCGGAAAGGCCCGCCTCCACCAGGTGGCTCCTGCAGAGCACCACACTCCCGCGCACACCGTCAGTGATTCCAGACTATTTGCTGTGCGTCCTGCCTCGGGGCTGGTACCCCTGCAGTGAAGCCATGCCTGTCCCACGGAGCTCAGAAGGAGCAGGGAGGTCAAGCTAAGGGCGGGAAGGTAGATGGTGGAGGTTAATGAGTGAGAACGCCCTGGGGAGGGCTGTCTGAAGGACTCTGGGGGGGAGGGGGAGGAGCCAGTGCAAGGACTGACGCACCCTGGATGCATGGGGTGGGACCGCCTCCTCAAATCCTCACACGCAATATGCATAAATGTTCATCTCCCACCAAATGCAAAACAGCCACCCAGATGCCCAGGACAGAAACCTGGGGTCACTGCTCCTTCCGCACCTTCCGTTCAGCCACCGCGGTACCACCTGCCCAGACCCCTTCCTTCACACCGGCACGGGCATGGGCCAAGCTCAAGCTCCACGTGATGGTCCTGACAGGTCAATCTCCTCCTCCTCCTGGTCAGGCCTCACAGAGCGAGCCCTCAGGAGCAAGTGCCAAGTCTGCCCAAGGCTCTGACCTGTCAACGCCACTCAGGCTCCACCCTGCAGAGCCCGCCCCTGGACGCGCCTCCACGCGACGGACAGTGCTGAGTGCCTCTCACCCACTCCACGCTGCTTGGGGGCTGGGGAGCAGGGGTGACGGGAACCAACTGGCTGCTGCATGAAAACACTGAGACGTCTGCATGAAAACACTGAGACGTCTCCTCGGCCCGACGCACTCCTTCCTCCCCGCCAGCTCCCACCTCCTGCCAGTCAGGCTCCAGCTGAGCCACCCACCGGCCTCTGCTCCTCTAGGAAGTCGGCGCTCAGCCTGACCAGGTGAGCTGCCCTGTGACCCACTAGCCTTGCCCTTCTTCCTGCCTGGCAGGCTCCCCATTAAACAAACGCAGTAAGGCCCTGGGCGGCGCCCCTTCTATGACCATTTATAGCCTCAGCACCGAGCAGAGAAAGTGCTGAATAAGCCTATTTTTTAAAACTTTATTGTTGGAAGTTTTGCATATGTCCCCTTTTTTCCCTCTTTTACCCCTTCCGGCCCACCCCGCTGAATAAGCATTTCTTAAACAAACTTCCAGTCACAGCATTTGAGAATACGTGAACAATATTTCGTTATCTTGTCACTAGTTGTCAAATGAAGAAATGCCAAGAAAATTACAATAGCCAAGATTTGGAAGCAGCCCAAGTGCATTAGCTGAGTGGATAAAAAGGCTGTGGTACATTTACACAGTGGAATACTACTCGGCCACAAAAAGAAGGAAATCTTACCCTTTGCGACAGCTTGGATGGGCCTGGAGAGTATCATGCTAAGCAAGCCAGACAGAGAAAGACAAGCACCGTATGATTTCATGTATATGTGGAATCTAATGAACAAAAGAAACTAACAAACAAAACAGAAGCAGACTCCTAGAGACAGAGAACAGACTGACAGCTGTCAGGGAGGTTTGGGGGCTGGTGACAAAGGTGAAGGGATTAAGCAAAAAACAACTCACAAAGACAAACATCCGTATAGTGATGACCAGAGGAAAAGCGGTAGAGGAGGAAGAGGGGAAGGGGGAATAAATGGTGATGGAAGAAGACTTGGCTTAGGGCAGTAAAAAGAAAGATGCATAAAAAAGTTTTGTGAAGCTGAAACCGGTTTGGCTCAGTGGATAGAGCGTCGGCCTGCGGACTGAAGGGTCCCAGGTTCGATTCCGGTCAAGGGCATGTACCTGGGTTGCGGGCACATCCCCAGTAGGAGATGTGCAGGAGGCAGCTGATCGACGTTTCTAGCTCTCTATCTCTCTCCCTTCCTGTCTGTAAAAAAATCAATAAAATACATTAAAAAAAGTTTTGTGAAATCAAAAAAATTCAGCATCATACAAGGGGAGGTGAAATCACTAGAAAATAAATAATTTTACTAATTTTCAAAATGAATTAGAGCAGAGGTCCTCAAACTATTTAAACAGGGGGCCAGTTCACTGTCCCTCAGACCGTTGGAGGGCCGGACTATAGTTTAAAAAAAAAACTATGAACAAATTCCTACGCACACAGCGGCGGCAAAAACACCCGGCGGGCCGGATAAATGTTTTCGGCGGGCCGCAGTTTGAGGACCCCTGAATTAGAGGATCAAAATTATCATAAGAAGATAAAGAAAGCCTTTCAAGCCCTAGTTGGTTTGGCTCAGTGGATAGATAGAGCTACGGTCTGCGGACTGAAGGGTCCCTGGTTCAATTTCCTGTCAGGGCACATGCCTGGGTTGTGGGCTCGATCCCCAGTAGGGGGCATGCAGGAGGCAGCCGATCCATGATTCTCTCTCACCACTGATGTTTCTATCTCTCTCCCTCTCCCTTCCTCTCTGAAATCAATAAAAATATGTTTAAAAACACACACACAAAATGCAGTGTGGCTATGCAAGAAAGAAAAAGAAAAGTAGAAAGAAAAGAAAAGAAAGGAAAGAAAGGAAGGAAGGAAGGAAGGAAGGAAGGAAGGAAGGAAGGAAGGAAGGAAGGAAGGAAGATAGAAAAGAAAAGAGAAGAGAAGAGAAGAGAAGAGAAGAGAAGAGAGAGAAGAGAAGAGAAGAGAAGAGAAGAGAAGAGAAGAGAAGAGAAGAGAAGAGAAAAGAAAGATGCGAGCAAAGACCAGGAGAAAGGGGGGTCACTAAGTGACCATATACGTCCGCCCTGAAGTAACTGACCGCCCTGGAACCGTTAGGAAGAAAGAACACACAGTCTGCAGGAAGCTGCCTTCGCATGACATCAGCTACATAGCACAGTGAGAGCAGGACCACCGCTTGCACCGGGCACCGTGGACCGGGCACTGGTCTGAGTGCTCACACGCACCACCCAGGAAGGAGGTGCTGGCCTGCCTGACGTACAGATGGGGAGACAGACGAAGATGTCTTTTTAAACACACCCAACCAGCGAGTTACAGAACTGGGTTCTAGCTCAGGCACTCCCAGGCCTGGCAGAGACGAGTGGATCTCTCCCGCCCTAGAATTCAGAAATTATTTTTAAGTTCCTCCAACAATGTTTTAGAGACCTAATGGAGAGGCTTTAACACTCTCTTGTCTAATTAGAAAGTGTACGGAATTTTCAAGCTGTCGTTTATTAACTACAGTGTCTATAACCTCACTGGGAATATATGTTATAATTGCCTCAGGACTGACACAGGAGACACATAGATACACATAAACGCACAATTACCCAAAGTAAACAAGACTATGCTCAACCAATGCCCTTAGTATTCCAGTCCTGACAGGTTAAAGAAAATATACATAGTATATTCCCCCTCGATAAAGGCATCATTAGGCTTGGAGAGCTAATTATTAAACCATAATAACCTTTTACCAAAGGCAATATAGGTTTAACTGGATAACATCTCTCTTTTTGTTAATCCTCACCTGAGGATATGCTTTTTTTTTTATTGATTTTAGAGATTGAGGAAGGGAGAGAGAGAAACATCGATCAGTTGCCTCCCCTGACTAGGAATCGAACCCGCAACCTTTTTGGCACAGGAACAATGCTCCCACCAACTGAACCACCCAGCCAGAGCTGGATAATATCTTAAGAATTACATTAGCCCGGCGGGCATCTCAGTGGTTGAGGGTCAACCTATGAACCAGAGGTCAGTGTTCGATTCCTGGGCAGGGCACATGCCTAGGTCAGTGATGGCGAACCTTTTGAGCTCGGCGTGTCAGCATTTTGAAAAACCCTAACTTAACTCTGGTGCCGTGTCACATATAGAAATTTTTTGATATTTGCAACCATAGTAAAACAAAGATTTATATTTTTGATATTTATTTTATATATTTAAATGCCATTTAACAAAGAAAAATCAACCAAAAAAATGAGTTCGCGTATCAGAGTGTCATAGATTCGCCATCACTGGCCTAGGTTGTGGGCTCAATCCCCAGTGTGGGGCATGCAGGAGGCAACCAATCAATGATTCTTTCTCATCATTGATGTTTCTATCTCCCACTCCCTTCCTCTCTGAAATCAATTTTTAAAAAATACTAAAAAGTAAAAGAGAATTACCTTAGCCCTAGCTGGATAGTTCAGTTGTTTGGAGCATCATCCCAATACACCAGAGAACAGGCCAAACGTTTTTAAAAAGCTCTCAGCGCCCCGTTAATCCACTGACCAACTCAAACGGCTACAACTGCCGGGTTCTTAAATGAGCGTCTGGAACCAAACTCACAGCTTTAAGAAGAAGTGGTACCTGGGATGGTGAACATAGGACACAATATGCAGGTGCTGCATTACAGAATTAATTGTACACCTGAACCCTACAAGCAGTAACCAATGACACCCCAATAAAACCAATAAAAAAGAAAAAAAAAAGTGGTACTCCGTTCCTTTTGCAGAACAGTCGATGAGATGTCCCAGTACTCAATATATACACTTCTCCACAAAGGTTTGGACAGTTTCCTTCTTTCAATACTGCTACACATTCAGTTTTGTAAATTACTTCTCTGATCTCGGTTTGAATTTAAGTTTTTTATCCCCTCATTTTATGTTCACAAAACCAAACATTTAGTTGAACTGTCGACTTCTTAATTTCTCGAACCACTCTGATCTCGAAAGCAAACCTGAACTCGGAATTTACACCACGGCTGAAAAATTCTAAAACCTTGTGCTCAATGCCTCCCAGACTTACACTAAATAGGGGTTTCAGAGTAATACGGCATGCCATATGGCAAGCCCAGATAATAAAATTGAGACTGTCTATTACCAATCCACTAATGCTAAGAGCCAGAGTGTACACAGCAAGAATTTAATCCAATTCAGAGACCCACATGAGCCAAATCTTTTGGCCAGAGAAAAAAACAATCCAATTAATAAACCACAGTACATGCCAATGCTGCACACCAAAATAAAATCAATGTTATTCACTAAAGTATTAGCTG